TTTTCGATAATTGACAGCACACACACACACACACACACACATCAAGAAAAAGAAAGAAATATAGAATGAAAAAAAAAAAAAAATAATAAAAGGAAGTGGCACATAACGAGATAACCTATGTTGCCAGTTGCGCTCGCATAGAAGAAGATAAAAAAAATGGACAAAAAAGACGACTATCGTTGATTGTTATATCAAGCCAGTAGATATTATCAAACTATAGTAGTGTGTCGATATATTAGCGTTGTAATGCGTTTTTACGCCGGCTTGCGCTCGTCGTCGCGTCAACCGACCGCTTATGCGAACCGTTCCACACTATACGAAACCACTAAACGTATAAAAGCAATTTACGAAGGAAATTTATTTATGAGAGATAAAGTGCATACTATTCGAACGGTGTGCGTGAATGTTGTGTGTATGATGCGTCTGTCGTAAATAAAAGAAACGACGAACGAACGACCAACGACGAATGACAAAAAGCGCAAAATTAAATTGTCAATTTCAAGTTGAGACCGTTCAGCCTTATCGTTCCAACATAAGTTTTGTTCCTTTTTCTCCCCCACCCCCATCCCTCTTCTAACGTTTGTTTCCACGAAAAGGGATGTCGTGTTTGTTTAGTCCTTGCCCTTCTTCCTACAACCTCCTGCTGCTGTTTTCTCATTGTTATTTAGAAACGAGCTTATTATAGAAAATAACAGCGATTCCATCGAACCGAAAGCACAAGAAGCATACGGGGGAAAACCAAAGGATGGAGGCCTTGCAAGGCGCGTTAAAGTCTCCAAGACACGAGTCAATGAGTGTCAATGATTAGAGCGAATGATCGTTGTCCGATTATAACTAAATTCTAGGTATAGTCAAAGGATTTCAAATGGGTAATAGTACCGTTGTTTCGTTAATTGTTTTTATAGATTATATTGTCCTGTGATCGCATCCCGCGACCCGCGACCCGCGTCTCACTCTTAACGATTGAAACTAATTCAAAGAAACTCGCAACATATATTCGCGTTTTTCGGTGCAATGAAGTCTTGTATATTCGATCTTGATTGCATCTAATCTAATGGACGAAAGATTCGCTACAGCTCTTAATCGACAATTTCATGAAAATAAAGAACAAGAAATGATATATATGTGTGTGTGTGTGTGTGTGTAGAGGATTATTCTAGTCAATTAAAAAGGGAATCCTAATATGATCGTGATATTTTTGTTCGTCGCGAGGTGACACGCTTATGTGCCCTCTTGTTCCATCTTCGTCGCGAGATACGATCACGCTTAGGCCACGACTATTTTTCTAAGTTGCAAAGTATAATAAATTAATGACGTTGCATTATCGTTACTAGAGTATATTATAATGTATATTGACATTTTAACTAGGCGAGTAAGTATGAAATAATGTTACAAACATAATATACGACTATATCATATAATAATAATTATATTATTATTAATAA